CAATTCTTCCGTTAGAATGCGTCGAACACTTTCCCTGTCTAAATTAACTTTCTCAGCTATTGCTAGAACACCCAACCTACGTTTTTTTCTAATCACATCTCGCACTTTTTCAATGTTGTCATCGGTAACTGCCGTGTGTGGACGGCCTGGGCGGTCATCATCTTTCAAGGTTTCTCTGCCTTCCGAAAATTGTTTGTGCCATTCAGAAACACGTGCACGAGACATGCAATCTTCACCGTAAGCCTCAGTCAATAATTGAAAAGTTTTCGTCGCGAATTTCTTAAGTTTAACAAGAAACTTGATAACTCGTTGCTCAGTTTAGCAATCCGACATTTTCCGATGGAGCGTAAGTTTACATCTATACAGTACTTCAACACGAGTCCACTTGTACTGAGTGAAGCAATCTAGTTGAGCCTTGTTACACTGTGACATGTTAGAACATGGTCAATAATCGTCTGTTTGTCCCTCCCCTCCCACTCTTGGTTCCTGAGTTGTAGGGTCAGTCTCGCTATTTTTGTGTCGGACCACATACATACATACATACATACATACATACATACATGCATACTGTAGTCATAATATTAACTTTATCTTCAGGTATATGCTGTTTGTGTATTTATAATATTTCTTATTTCTGTCACTGAGTATGTTTTATCCCCTTCACCACTGATCGGCTCGTTAGTCGGTCACGTCATGTTACGCACTGTTGGCAAGTACTGAATGTATCTGAACCAGCTCTAGTGCTTGTCAAGTCTGAGTTTCAAAAAGCTTACACTCGGTGCCGTCACATCATTCTTTAACAGATTGTTCCATGAGTTCACAACTCTCTCTCCGAAAAAGTTATCCCTCACAGTTTTCTGGACTTGCGACTTCAACCTTGAGCTGTGACCCGTTGTGGGGCGAGCGTCCGCCCGCTCCAGGTAAAGACACTCGACTGAGTAATGCCCTTTGAGATGTTTATACACCTTGATTAGGTCCCCCTTGCCTGTCTGTAGTATAAGCTAGGCAATTGCAGGCGCTCTGATCTCTCAGGGTAGCTAAGGTGCCGAAGTGATGGCACCAGCCTGGTGGCCATCCTTTGGATATTTACAATCAACTGACAGTCCCTAGCATATCTCGGGGACCAGACAGTACTCCAGATGGGGAAGCACTTCACTCTTGAAGATCGTTTCAAGGGACGGGCCGTCTAGATTTCTGAACGACCTTCTTATAAGACCTAATAATTTAGTTGCCTACTTCACCTACTTTTCGCAAAGGCCCGAGAACTTCAGCTCATTGTCAACATACACACCTAGGTCCTTTTCACATTAAGTCTCAATTAATGCAGTTTCTTCGCCCCGCTGGGACAAATGGTACGCCTCTTTACCGTTGGTACGTTCCAGGTGCATCCTCTTACACTTCGTAACATTGAATTTTAGCAACCATTTCTTCGGCCATTCTTGAAGCTCACAGAGATCCTTCTGCAGTTATTCACAGTCTGCTTGGTTCTTAATTTCCCGAAATAACTTGGCGTCATCCGCAAATATTTGTAGGGGGAATGTATAGCGTCTGGCATGTCATTGATGAAGCAAACAATCAACAGCGGGCTCATTACACTGCCCCATGGTACTCTGCTTGTGACGAATACACATGATGATTTCGTGCCATTAATCACCATACACTGCTTACGGTCATGGAGAAAGTCTTCGATCCACGCTAGGCCACTTCCCAGAATCCCGTCCCCTTCCATTTTAATTTTCAGCCCTTCATGGGGTATGCTGTCGAAAGCCTTGGCAAAATCTAGATATACAGTATATTGTCGACAATGCCACCCTGTTCCAGAATTTAGGTCCAAACATCCAGTACCTTGAGTAATTGTGTTAAGCAGGAGCGTCCCAGCATAAAATCGTGTTGGTAATCCTTTACAAGGTTGTTTCGCAGTAGATGTTCCATTATGGCATCTCTTAGAATGCTCTCAAGTACTTTACAAACTATGCTGGTCAGGCTCACTAGTCTATAGTTATTCGTGGAGTGACGCTCGCCCTTCTTGAAGATAGGACTCACATAAGCCATTTTCCATTCACTGGGGACCTTTTGCTCATCCTCGCATTTACAGAACAGGATCTTCAGGGGCTCAGGAAGCTCGCTGCACAACTCTCTTAGCACTCTGGGATGTACCATGTCAGGGCCGAGACCTTTGTGAACCTTTAGCTTTGACAGTTTATTCCTTGTTGTCATGGTAACGTTTGTGTAGTTAGTCCGTTCAACACTTAATTATTCATATTATGCTATAGCGCCCACAAAACATGTGAAACATTTGAGTCTTCCAGTAGAGACGTCCGTTCTCTATCCGTTTCAGGATGCTGTAGTTCTTCCATTTTCTCTCGTATACTCGCTTAGGGACTCGGGTATTTTTAAATACCTTATAGGGTGTTCAGGACATTCGAAATTGTGAGCGAATAAATTTATTGTACAGTCAATGATGTTTACCTACCGTGATAGGAAATAGTCTAGATGTATTAATTATATGTTGGAGGTATCCTGTATTTTATGTGTAGATTATTTTGTGTTAAGAGATTACGTGTTGGTTACTCTTTCGGTCAGCTGTAAATCCTATGTTTCGTGTATTCGTACGTGGCGGCAGTTCGAAACTGAACTCCTACTGTTTTGATATATGAACATTAGAGAATCCGATGGAAACATAGAAAATGTTGTCAGTTTTGTATTATAGAGATTAGATAATTGTCTGAAATGTAAACACAAAACGTACTTATCGCTCGAGTTTAACGGAAAGTCTCAACTTATCTCTACCTCAGAACCTTCCACATTACTGCCAATAACAACTCCACGGCAGTACTCAGAAACTTGTCAACAAGGTAGCTATATTGCATATTCCACAATCACCTGTACTTGATGTACCTGTAGGAAACATATACACTGTAAATATACATAGAGTACGCTTGGGATCCAACAACAACACAGAGAACCTGAGAGATTGCTCTCGTTCATAGATCAGGACTTGTAGCACTGGTATTCCAAATAAATACCTGCTTTGCTACTCTGTTACATAGCCAAGAAAACGTGGCGGCCTTCACACTACCCTGTATGTTAACCCCAGAGACTCATACCATTGGAGATCACATACCAGAATACACACGCGAAATTACGACCCACGCACTACTCAGAGGTGGACCCATACCAACAGTGACACTGCCTGAGCTGGTGTTGTTTACGTCGCGGGGTCGACCATAGGTGGAAGGTGGACGTGTCTGGCGCACGTCCTTAGTAACCGACTGGTTCCCCACATAACCGTGTTGCTTCCAAGAAATTCACTTGCCAATATTTGTTTTCGGTGTCCCTAGCAGTTACTAGTACTGTATCACTAATTGCTGTTGTCATGGTCACATTGACTGCTGGTCTGTTTTAAACCTGCTGATTCTTATTATATTTCACGTCCGCAAAACATCCCTAGGAAGAAACGTGTTTTACACCAAGGCTCCCTCCGTAAGTCCGCCTTGTGAACACCGTTGCCAGTTCAATCTTGAATTAGTTTATGTAAATCAACTAAAGTAATTCGCCAGACCCGTGTCAACTGAGGGTCATCCTTGAATGTGTAGCAGTTGATTTGTTTGTGATTTTTGTCATTGCATGAGTAGCCACCTCTGGCAATTTATGGGGTATATAAACCCATGCCGAGGAGGAACAGCCTTCCCGGTAACGCTCCCTACTTTGTCTCAGGTATGTAAGCATGTGTTCCCCGCCAATATAGCCATTCAGTATGACTTAGTCAATTTTGTGAGTATCAGTGTTCATGTTGTAACAGTGAAATTGTCATTTACTCAGTGTGAGAATTACTAGTAACGTAAATGTCGCCTGTCGTTGCCAGACGAAAGATTGTTGTGATTGAGTCATCCTCATGCTTCCCGTAACGCTCCCTACTTTGTCTCAGATCCAGTGTGTGGGTTATTTGAACACCCCACCGGCTGCCAGGAGTCGGTGGCTTCCTAACAGTTAGCTGTAGTCGCCGATTCGGTAGGATTAAACTGATCCAGTCAACATCGTGGGGTTGGACCCCAGACTGTCACCACGTGTCCGACTACACCCGACCATAACAGCGGTCGTCAGTTGTTGAGTGTTCTACCCTGGGACACTCCTGGCAGTTATATGGTCCACAGTGTTTGTTGTATATGATTGGGGATAATTATCTGGAATATAAGTATCCTATATTGGGTAGTGAACCAATGTGAACTTGTTGGTATCAGCATTCACGTGTTGTGTGTTGTGAGTGCATCTCATATGTACTAACAAAAGTCTAGTGAAGGTATCAGATGTAAGTTTGTCTGGTAATGTAATGTAATGCCATGTAACACCAGTAAGGTTGTGAGAAGTAATAGTACAGTATCTAATTGAATTGCAGTTGAGTAAAGCCGAGTTGTATGTTAATGACATCTTTTTCCCTACTTTGATTTCATTTAATAAACCTTTTCTTAGAGTATATTAGGGGTATTTCTTTTTCCCAGTATCCACCTTTATTCTGTCCAAGTGACCTTGATACCAGAATTACAGTATCCATGTGCCTGGCCCTCGCCATGCTACCAAAAGAACTGAGGTTATGAAGTAACCATGAACTGAATATGTAGACAGAACAAATGAAGGAAATAAGACAGAGAGAAGTAAGAACATAAGGGTGGCCTCGGTGGTTCAGTAGTAGAGTCGCCGCCCTTACAATGGTGGCAGAGTGTGCTCCCACCCTTACACTGTCTTAAATAAATTCCAACAAACTGCACCACCAAACTGACACAGTTCCTTCACCAGAACAACCTTTTTGACTATAAATTTACTGCCTAATTTCTGTCAAGCCAAAAAAAAAAGAATTCTTGACCAGTTATTATTTGATAGTAGAAGAAACAAAACAACCAAATCTAAACTGTCCTTAATCTTCACTATCTGGGTTAATAAACAAACAAATATGAGCCAAAAATGTTCACTGAATGGAAAATAAAAGAAGTGTGATCCTACATTTTTATTTAGGGAATGGTTTTGGTTTGGTTCAGTAACATGGAAACATCCAGCTCATTAGAAAAGGTGAGATGTTTTGTTGGAAGTGTTAGTTAAACAAACATATCCTCTCACTGAATTAGGTATTCTGCTCTTTAATTTTTTTAGTAAAAGTTATCCAGTTTTGAAGAAGTCTTATATAATTTGAAATAATCTAATTCATACACGTTTTGGGAGTTAAATAACTTAACTCCTTTGTGTACATTCACTTATACAGTTCTGTATATGAAATATATTGCTATTGACTAGTTGACTAATATATCTACTGAATATTCAAAATTTTAACATTTTTGTTGCAGATAAAAACATTGTTACATTTCTTTTCTGTTTCTCAAGAACTTACCAAGATGTTTTTGAAAGAATCATCAACCCTGCTGACCTGATATGTCGTGTGAGTTGTCTCTTAGGTGGAGAAGGTTTACCCCTTGAGTAAAGCAGATGATGTTGGACCACTCTCAGGGTCAACAGATGTCAAAGGTTTGGTTCCGGGAGCCTGATCAATGTCTTCATATTGAGTGTGTTTGCGACTAGCTGTGGAAAAAATTTTTGGAATTATCCTGCAGTCAAAAGTAAGGGAGATCAGTACTGTATAAAGTTGAAACCAGAGGGATAAATGTTATCTGATATAGGTTAAGTCAATATTACGACTAAAAATATGACATTTGGAGTAAACTGGTTAAGAAGTAGTAAAGATGTTACCAACAGTAAAGATACTGATCTCTCCTATGCAAAACAGTATAATGCGCCTCTTGATAATAAGGAAAGGGATGTAGCGACCCTGTTGAAAAATAGAGTGCATGTATAGGTGATGGAGCGTAAGAGAGGCATTCCCAGAATATCATGAATAATGTCAAAAAATGGATGAGAAATTAGTTGTTCTGTGAGAGACAGATAGAGATAAGAAAATTAAACATAAGAAAAGGAAGGACACTAAAAAAAATCCTATACTCCAGCTCAGGAACTACAGAGCACTTTACTTTATCCTCTTCGCCACTGATCGGCTTATTAGCTGCTTGGGCAGTCAGTCACATCTTCATTATGCACTGTAGGCAGAATGTATGCACTGGCTCCAGAATGTATCTGTACTTGTGCCAGTTTTGGTCAAGTCTAGTCATGAATGAGCTCCCACTCGGTACCGTCACAATGCTTTCTGCTTGATTGTTCTAAGAGTTCATGACTCTTAATTAAAAAAAAAGTTTGTCCGGACAGTTTTCTGAACTTATTATGGCTTCTTCAACCTAAAGCTGTGGCCCCAGGTGGGACAGGCATCTGCCAGCTCGAGGTAATGTCATGGGCACATTGACGGCTAGTCTGTTTTAACTCTGTTGATTCTTATTATACTCCACGACAGCAAAACATGAATGGGTAGCTGGTTAGCTATCCCTAAGAAGAAACGCTCTTTTCCCTCCCCAACGTTTGCACCAAGGATCCCTCCCAGTAAGTCCCGCCTTCGAAGACAGTTGTCAATGCGTTTTTATTCCACTTTCTTCTGGCAAGCTCAATCTTGGATTAGTTTATGTAAACCAACTTTAGTAATTCGCCAGACCTTTGTCAACTGAGGGTCATCTTTGATTGTGTAACAGTTGGTTTGTTTGTAATTTCTGTCATTGCGTGAGATAGCCACGTCTGGCAACTCAGGGGTTTATAAACCCTGTGTGAGAAGGAGGGAGCTTCCCGTGAGCTTCCTTCTCCCGTTGTTCCTCAGGTATGAAGACAGTGTTCCCCGCCGATATAGCCATTCAGTTTGATTTAGTCAATTTTGTGAGTATCAGTGTTCATGTTGTAACAGTGGAATTGTCAGTCACCCAGGGTAAGAAGTACTATAAAGTAAATGTCGTCTGACCTTGCAAGACGAAAGATTTGTTTGTGTTTGAGTCCATGCTTCCTCCCGTGATGCTTCCCTCTCCTGTTGTTCGTCAGATCAAGTGTGGGCTCTTTGAACACCCACCGATTGCCCCAGAGTCGGTGGCTACCTATCAGTGAGCGATATATGGACGATGTCGTTGATTCGGCATGATTAACTTGCTCCAAGTCCGCCTCGTGGGCCTTAGACCCCAGACTGTCAACACGTGTCGGAGTACAGCCGACCACAACAACGGTCGTCAGTTGTGAGCCACCAGTGTCCTACCCTGGGACATGCCTTGAAGTTATATGGTCCTCCGTGTTTGTTTTATATGTTGGGGATAATTAACTGGAAATAATTATCCCATGTTGGGCAGTGAGCCCATGTATAAGTTGTTGGTTTCAGTAATAACGTGTTGTGTGTTGAGTGCATCTCACATGTACTAACAACAGTCTGTGAAGGTATCATATGTAAGTTTGTCTTATAACTGGATGTAATGAAATGTACCTAGTAATGTGTGAGAAGTAAGGTTGTCCACTTGGGACTGAGTCAAGCCACGGAGTTGATCCTAGTAACTGTAATGAAGTGTATCACCAGTAATGTGGGAGAAGGCAGAGTACCCACTTGGAATGGCATGTGAGTAAAGCCAAGGAGTTGTCAGGTGTCTATATGTAATGTGAGTAAAGCCAAGGAATTGGTCCTGGTAACTGTAATGTAATGTAACACCAGTAAGGTTGTAAGTAATAAGAGTACAGTATCTGAGTAATTTGCAGTTGAGTAAAGCCTAGGAGTTGCACCTTGGAGTTGTATGTTAATGATATCTTTTTCCCTACTTTGATTTCATATTAAAAAACTTTTTCTTAGGGTATATTAGGGGTATTCATTTTCCCACAGTAGTTCACCTTTATTTCCGTCCAAGTGACTTGATATCAGAATTACCATACCCATGTGCCCTAGACCCTCGCCATGCTACCAAAGAACTGAGGTTATGTAGTAACCATTGAACTGAGTAAGTAGAAAGAACAATTGGAGGAACTAAGAAGAACAAGAGAAGTATGAGTAAGACAAGGGGGGCAGCTTGAGTTGAGAAATACCCCCCACCCCCTTACAGTCGGATCACTGACTAAATAATGATCTCAGAGGTGTTTATAAACTATTATTAAGTTACTGCCAATACAGTATACTGGTTCCTTGCTAAGCACTGGCTTTTCTAACACGTTTTTGTCTTTACACAGATTTTTGAATGGCGATTGACCTTAATTAACACTCTTGATTATTAATGGACACACAGTGGGACAGTTCAAATTTCACTGGCTATGCCGGATGTTATCAGAGAGGACCACGCCCAGTGCTGTCAGCGCTGGCCGCCAGTTGGCGCGTGCATCGATGTTTACTGTACAAGTTTGGCACCCGTTTGTGAACACTGAAGCTCTCTCATGCATTCCAGCTATTTTGTGCTTTTTTGGTTGGATATTTAATAATTATGCCATATCCTAATAAAAAGAAACAAAGTAGATGTCCTCAAGATAAAGGCAAGTTAGTGAAGAAGCATCATGTGTTCACACTTGAAAAAAAATAGGTATCGTTAACTCAATGGAAGATGGGAAATCATTTACTGCTGTAGGATTGCGTTATTATGTCAATGAATCGACAGTGAGAACCATCTGCAGGTTTAAGGAGGAAACAAGGCGTGCATTTACCGATGCTTCCCCACGTTCTGTGACAAATGCTGTGCATGTACTTAAATATCCATTTGTTCTCAAGATGGAAAAAGCAATTTTCATATGGCTTCAAAGTTGTTACAAGGGGGTGCTGGTGGCAGAGTCGTACCGCTCTTGCCTTCACAAGCGAGATGTCACGGGTTCGATTCCCGGGCAGGTGGAAGTTGTTTGGACATACTCCCTAGCCCCCATTAGTCCCTGTTCACCTCGCAGTAAAGTAGGTACCTGGTGTAAATCGAAAGTTGCGAATTTGTATTCAGGGACAAGTTGTTGGAGCTTCCAATAACTTGATGACATAAACCATTGACTTTTCAGGCTTCTACGCCCTTAACTCATGAGACATAAAGGCAAGCATGAACTTAACATGCTTCCCTGTTGGGCACCGTAAACGCTTCTGCGCTTCACCTTACACAAGGATGTAGGGGGTGCCCAATAAATAAAAAAATATATAAAAATTAAACTTTTCATTAATTCACAGTGTTTCAGGCCTTTTTTTTTACGTATTGTACTGTATGCAGTGGTGAAGCAGTTAGCCCATCAGCCCTTGTTTTTGACTCATGAGTTGTGTTATATTGGCCCATTAATCACTATCAACAGAGAAGTGTTCTGGGAAGAAGATAAGGGTTTACATAAGAACATAAGAAAATAAGGAGTCTGCAATAGGCCGGTTGGCCTGTGCATGGCAGCTCCTGTCGAGGAGTAATAGTACTTTCAGAAAAGAAGACTTCGGGCATTGCACGAGTTGCATAATTTTATACGCTCTACTGATATTGAAATACAGTACAGTGATGGATTAATTGGTGCAGAGCACTTCCGGAATGAGAGATTTCCGGGTAATGAGAGGACTCTCTCAAAGCCGGAAAAAAATCCTTCATCCCTGGAATTTTCCTTGTACAGTAACAGAAATATGTTCTCGGAAGTTCCAGAAATTGCCCATTACATCATCTCTTGAACCCGGAAAAATGCCTCCCATCCCCAGAATTTTCCGGCTGTTGGAAAAATGTTCTCAGAATTTTCCGTAAAATGTACTCTTCGTAAAAGCGTTCCCAAAGCCAGAATTGTCCGGAAAATTCCGGCTTTGGGAACGATTTTCCAAGAAAATTTCAATTTCGGCTATTGGAGAGTTCCGGGTTTGAGGGAGTCCGGCTAACGGAGCTATTACTGTATTATAATTTAATCTAGATTCTAGAAGATTCAAATAAGATCGATATACTGTAGTTTTAATTGGTAAAAAAAAGTTAATACAGTAATATATAAAAATAAATTTCAATAAAGTCCTCTCTCTTATTATTTCTGTGCACAGGATATAGAGTACAAGTAAGTCCCCGTTTAACATAGTCCCAGACAACGTTGTTTCGTTATAACGTCACTACTCTTTAGATACCCATGATTCCAACAACGTCCCGACCGATTCATTATAATGTCGTCACGGACTACATTGTATGGCGCATCACCCTCTTTCATCTTGGTGCGCTACGCTTTCTCGCGGAGAGTCATAGCGTCCCCAGTCTTCGTAAGATTCCACAGCGTGCGTGCGTGCTTAAGTGTTTTTGCTCTAAATACTGTACTGTAACCATTCGAAATGGCTTCCAAGCGTCCGTCTAGTGTTAGTGATGCTAGTGTTGTGAAGAAGCAATGCAAGGCCATTAGCCTTGCTACGAAAATGGAGGTTTTAAACCTCCAGGTCTCAGTGTCTCACCACCCTCCTCCTCTCCACTACCCACCACACACTCGCTCCACCTCTGCCCATCAATAAGTACAGTACAAAATTATTTTGTTTATTTATCTTTTTGGGTGTATAATATATATTTTCTATAAAAATTCCATATAATTTATGTATATGTAATGTATTTTATGGGGAAAAGGGAGGCTGGGGAACACAACTGTAGAGTATTTTATAAAATTCTTATGGGGAAAATTGATTCCGTTGACGTTGTGTTTTTCAAGAACGTACCCATGACGGTAAACGAGGACTTACATTTGATTTTTTAAATATAAATTCATTCAGTACATGATTACATATATAAACAGTAACCAAGGATGACACATAAAATACTGCATGTATTTGTGATCATTATTTCTTATGTGGTCCTCATTCCAATGTTGATTCTTAAACCCTGAATTCCCCCTTATTGGCTTATATTTGCCACACGTGAGCCTGATTAATGTAGCTAAACTGTTTATACTTTTTCTTCCTAATATGGCCCACTACTAGAAAGTGCTTAGAAAAACTGCCTAAGTGCTTCACATTAATTCCCTTTGCAAATAGAATCGCTAGATTCTTTTATGCTAACACTCACATACAACAAGACTCCACCACACAAGCTCACTAACCAAGTACAGGGGTCTCTTAAATACTAACCAAAAATACCCTCAAAGCCAGAAGGTAGACTGTGGCCCCCCACCTCTCTGGCCCGGTCCTGCACAATACGGAAGAGCAGAAAGCTGGAGATAGGACGCAATACTAAGTTCATCACAGCCATTGCTCCCCCAAACTTCATTGATCCAGCTGAAATAACAAAGTTTGAGTGATATTATATAGACTTTTAATGATGAAAAAGTTTCATTGCAGGAGAAAGTGCCTCACTGAGAAAAAAGGAAAAAATATTACTGGGGGTTTTGGTTAGTTTACTTACCCTCTTAGCTCATGTAAAACAAACATAAATGCTTGTTTGTAATTGCAAAATAATCATAAATGGAAACATTTATTATTTACTGTGAAAATTTAAGTTATTGTAGATGCTATCTATGGACAATTGGACATTTAGAAAACTAAAAACAAAGTAGTACAGAACTGAAAGATGAGGCAAAGTAACACTAGACTTCTTATCCTAATGAAATGTATCTAGATTAACTTAAACTCAATGAACCTTCTTAACAACACAAATCTAGACTAACAACTGTACATAACATAATTCAAGTAGTACAGTACAGGGATTTGTACAATGCATTACTGCCTATCTCTGTCTGTCCATTTATCTATCTATTTTACCTACTGCTTCCACAGAATGTTATTAGAAAAACAATACATCCACTGCTTCTATGTACAGTAGTGTACACAAATAGACTTGGGAGTTAATTGACTTGAAACTTATGTACACTGACGCTTTCCCTGACAAGAGAACAATTTGAAACTCTACTCAAGAACCATCAACTGGATCTAGTAGGTGTTGTGGAAGTGTGGTATAAAAACAGGAGGATCGACCCTGAGGATTGTGAGTTTAATATAGATGGATCTGACTCATTTATGAACCTCTCGCAGCAACCTGTAAGAGGGGTGGGCTTATTTATGTTAGACAAACTCTTAGAGCAACTAGGTGAGGATGGTTTTGTAGAGTCGACGTGGTGTATAATTATACTGAAGAGACTTGCTCATTGTTGGGTGTATTTATAGATCCCTGACCTGCAGTTTATTGAACCAAGAGAGCTTTCAGGCCTTAATAGACTATGCAACAGCATTCAACTCTAGCCACCTCCTTCTCATGGGTGACTTCAACTATGGGGGCATCGACTGGAGGAAGGAGGTTACAGTATACTGTACCAAATAACTGCAACAATCCTGCAGAAACGAGAGCCAAATCCTATTCCAACATGCTAAAAATCCAACTCTGTATAGAGGAGATCAAATGGCCAAGCCTCTGGATCTCATCATCACTAATGAGGAGGATTTTCTTATTTATTTTTTATGGGGATTAGCCCTCCCAGGCACAGGTCACTGACCCACATCAGGGCCTGGGAAGTAGGGGGAGGGGGGGGAGGGGGGGTAAATAAATTGAACCAAAAATAAATAGAGAAATGGAAAAACAAAAACAAATCAAGAGTGAGAAATGATACACATGTAATGTTGTCAAAGAAAGAGAAACAATGGAGACCTGCAATTGTGTGCAAATGAGGCAGAAAGTCAGATCAGAAACCTGAGACTTGGTCAAAAAAATTCGTGATGCCATATGGCAGCAGGGTCTACCATTAGACAACACATTATGCTTTCAATATCTTCCCAGGCGGTAGTACCTCCCTGTTTGACAGCTGCCTACTACCAATTGGAACATTTAGCCCCTGCTGACACGAGCCATTGTGTGATGTTGTCCTTCACATTTGATTGTTACTTGGTACATAATGAGAGAAGGCCAAGGTTAAAATATTAAAATGACTATTATGACAGGATGAGGGAGGAAATGAGAGGTATTCACTGGCCTGGCTCATTGAGAGTAAAGTGAACTACTGTATTTGATTGATAAATGTATACCCTAGGACTGCAAAGAGATTGTGACACATGAATCATGTGGCGGTTAACAAAGTTGAGAAAAAAATATCAGAATTTCAAAAGATGGGTCGTGACTATTGATAAACAGGACAGAAGAATGTATGCTCGGTCTAGGAACGAAGACAAGTCAGAGTGCAGAAGAACTGAAAAAGATTTCAGAGGCACATTATAAACAAGGCCAAGTCAAACCCCCAAAGCTTTCTTTAGTTACACTAAATCGAAATTAAAGATGCGTGGGCATATCAGACCTGAGTTTTGAAGACTGTATTTATGCAGACTCAGGCCAGGAAAAGGTAGAGGCATTATTTTCTTTCCTTAAGTGTTCACAAGAGAATGTAAACAACCTCCCTACATTTGAAGAAAGATGTTTGGCACAGCGCTGATGCACAATGAGTTCTACGAAGAGTGTATTAGGAACAAGATGTTAAAGCTAAAGGTTCATAAGAGCCCTGGCCCTGATAGTGTGCATGCCAGAGTGCTAAGAGATTGGTGCGACGAAGGTGCTGAGCCCCTTAAAATCCTATTCTGTAGATGCATGGACTAGCAAAAGGTTCCTAGCGACTGGAAAATGGCATCTGTAAATCCTATATTAAAACAGGGACATCGTTACGGCACAAATAATTATAGGCCAGTGAATAAGACCAGTATAGTGTGTAAAGTACTAGAGAGTATTATACGAGATGCCATGGTGGACCATCTACTACGAAACAACCTTGTAAAGGATTGCCAACATGGTTTTAGGATTGGGTGCTCCTGCTTGGTTGACACAATTATTCAAGGTGCTGGATGTGAGGACAGAGGTCCTGGAGCATGGTGGCAATTTTCCATAACCACCAGCAGTTGCTTTATGTGGTGATTATTGGCAAAACATTATCATATTGTTACAACCCCTCTTTTTCACTGCTTACCCAGCTTCTACCACTGGTTACCAGCGGCTAGGGTCGTACGTACAGAAGCAGCAGATATCTCACAAGCGTTATCGAATTACCACTGGCTGTCCCGCCAGTCTCCGGTAATTTCCCAACAATCGGTATCGGTGTACAGATAACCAACAGGCAGGTAGATTCCCACCAGGTCACAGAAACACACATGTGAACTGTAGTCTTCTTTAATAAGCACTGATTCTTCACAACACTGTTAACAGGGTAGTTGCTTCACAGCTGGACTTCTCATTTCGAATATATACAGTAGTCGATACACTACCAGTGTACAATTTCTTAGTCTTTTCACTTTACATTGTTCATAACAATGTCTGGGAGATTCTAGAACGTTCTACCCTGATCGAGGCTTACAATAATAAGTAAATCATAAAAGAATGATGCAATACATTCTAGAATATTCTTACATAATTAATAAATCAATATATTCAAGAAAATTTCACCAAATTTGTCCAAATAGCTGCTGCATGGGACAGAAAACAATCAAAACGCCTAGTTTACAAAATTACCTCCTCCCTAATCCTTGTGTCGTTCCGACACACGTATTCACTATATACATAGTAATCCTGAAACTTGGCAGGTCTCTTCTTCCACTGCTGCTACTGACGTACTGAGATGTCTTCTGAGTCCTCCCTTGGCGCAGCAGCATTGGTCACATCCTCAGATTGGTCTGCCTCTCCTGTCACGTCCAATTCAGCTAAGAGGGAACAGTGCTCCTCTTCCTTGTTCATGGTCGGGTTCTCCGGATTGGTACGGCCTTGTGTTCTTCCAGGATCTTCTGTCTGGTCCTCGTCGGTGGTAGGTGACTGGCCCATGATACTGCCACAGATGGTTAACGTGGACTACCTACGGCTGAGCCTTCCTTCCTCCCCTGATCCTGTAGGTCACATCAGAAAGGCGTTCCACTACAGTGTATGGTCCTTCCCATGAACTCTGCAACTTCAGTGACTGACCCTTTTAATGCAGAGGGTTATACACCCAGACCTTATCACCGTGTAACAGACCTGACTTACTTTGACATCATGGTTGCACTTCATCACTTCACCCGAGAACTCCAGAGCTCCTCGAACTTGATGGTGAACCTTTGTCAACCTTTCTTGGAGGTTTTTTATGTAATTGGTGGTTTCTTCAGGAAGTTCTTCATCTGGTGGTCTTCCTGTCAGCAGGTCCACTGGCAGCCGCAGTTCGTGACTCAGCATCAGTTTTGCCGGTGTGTATACAGTTGACTCGTGGGCAGCTGACCGATATGCCATCAGCAGAGCAGGCAACTTCTGGTCCCATTCTGTCTGCCCCTCAGCACAGTACTTGGCCAGTTCTTGTCCTAAGATCCAATTAAATTTTTCTACCATTCCGTCAGACTGTGGCCAAAGTGGAGTGGTCCTAGTCTTCCTTATGTCCAACAGTTTACAGCACTCGCTTAACACAGCCGACTCAAAATTTCTGCTTTGGTCCGAGTACAACTCGTGGGGCACACCAAACTGGCAGAAGAACTGGTCCACCAGCACCCTAGCAACAGTCGTGACTTCCTGATTTGGGATGGCATAAGCTTCTGGCCACTTAGTGAAGTAATCCATGACCACACAGATGTACCTATTACTATCTGTAGTGAGTGGCAGAGGTCCTGCAATATCCACGGCTACCCTCTCCATTGGTGCACCTGCATAGTACAACTGCAATGGGGTACGCGTATGTAGCTTTGGTCCCTTCTTGGCGCAGCGGACATCGCATGAAATGCAACATTCTTCCACATCCTTACGCATGTCAACCGAGTAAAACCTTTGCCGCAGGCGACTCACGGACTTTTTCACTCCCAGATGTCCATTGGTTAAATTGTTGTGCATCTCCGTCAGGATCTCTGACCTCATCTTCCGGGGAAGTAATGTCTGCCAGAACCTGTTGAGGCCATTGGTAGTCACCCACTGGCACTGCAACAGACCATCCTTCAGCCGAAGAGCATCCCACTGCGCCCAGTAGTTTTTAGTCATAGGACTTGCTCCAGAGATCGTCTCCCATGCTGGCCGCACTGAGCTCTGGTTCATCCACTCAACCATTGGTCGCACTTCTTGGTCTTCCAACTGCAGCTTCTCAAGGCCTTCCTCAGCTACACTTCTTGGGAACTGCCTTTCTCCTACAATATTGCTGACAATCAGGTTTCACCACTCCCAGACGGGTATGCAAGGCATCGTTCACCTTGCGTAGCAATCGCACCTCTGATCTTGTGGGAATAACTACTGTCTGCCTAGCTGTAACCTTAGCACTTGCATGCTTCACAGTCTTCAGTGGTACTCACTTTCCTCTAATTCTCAA